TTGCGGACTCCCCAAATGCTTGCTTTAGCATTTCATAGGTTTCCGTAGCCGTTTTGGCGAGTCTTTGGCAAAATTTGATGCACACGCCATTCCGAAATCGCAGGAGGGTCGGTGTAATGCACTACCAAAACGCCCGTAACTAAGAAACAAATGCTAATTCGATGATGCCGCCTGGCACACTGATTCACTATGAATGTAAGCCTCACCCCCTAGCGGCAGAAGCTCGTACTACATCCGGTTCGCCCACTATTGACACAGTCTTGAAACTTTCCGATGGCACATCGTATTTATTCTTCGATGTATCATTTGGGACAAACCAGGTAATTTAAACATAACGTACAGACCTAGGTAATTTTCTTCTACCCCTGTGCCTAATTTTAAAGTAGAAAAAATCCCTGGGTTGTCTCTCCAAGAGGTTTTTTTATATATCACTTTTTACGATGCACCGTTCCGGAGAACAGGGTGAGACGGTCGGACGGGCGGATTTTGGCTTTTATATATGCAGATAGAATATCCATACACCCAGTTTGTCCTGTGATTCAATTTAATCCCTTGAAGCAGGGGTGTGCTACAGGGGTGTCAGTCGAAGGGGCTCGCGCAGGCCTCATTAATTTTTGACACAGAAAGTAATAAAAATACATATCCACATACATACATACATACATCCATATATCGATACTTCTTACCCGTCCGTATTTCCAAATGTCAACATGAAAACGAGAAATTTTTCAGCTTCGCCAGTCTCAATTCGCTGCAAATCAGTAAACATATTACAGAACAATATAATTACAGCATATTCCGGTTAATTGGGCCATCGGTTAATCATTTATTTGGGACAAATCTTAAAGAACAAAGCTTATTAACTCTTTACGTGGAATTTCGCATGACTGGCAAAGCTACTTAATTGGGACAAAGTGTTCTAGTCCCGTTGTGTCCCAATTAACCGGAATCTACTGTACATACAAAATGATGCATTTGTTAGGACACACAGGCCCTGCCAAGCTGGAAAGCTGTGTCAACGTTGACGGCGGCCATTTTGAATACTCA